GCGGGGCGCCGTGCTTGTGGGGCCCAGCCACTACTGCGGGGCTGAGGGGGTTTCGCGACTCCAAACCGTGCAGGTGCCCCCACAGAGCACCCCCTCAACGGTGTAAAGGGAGAGCGCAATCTTTTTTTTCTTTTCTTTTCTTTTTTTTTTGGTACCAGGGATCGAACTCAAGACTTTGCGCTTGCCAGACGGGCGCGGCGGAGAGAGCGCAATCTTAAACTTGGGGCCACTACTGCGTTTCAGTACAAGACCGAAGGGCCCCATGCCACTAACCTTTCCAACTCCTATCAGAAAAGAAGCTCCTCTCCTCACCACCACCCCAAATCCCTCAGAAGCTCCCTTCTTTCCGAAGAGGACGCTGCGCTTCAGCTGCACTTCAGCTCTCCCAGCGTAAGGTCCTGCCTGCCCGCCCTTCGGAGCGCGGCAGAGAAACCGCCGTCCGAGAACTTAGCACAAAGCTGTCGATGGAGGGTCTGCGGAGTTCCCGTCAGGTCGTAGGTCTGGAGACCCTGAGGAACGCGGGCAAGGTCTCCGCTCTCAAGATCTTATCAAGGAGGAGAAAGGAAGATGAGGCAAACAGGTAAATATAAGCATGGTAATCTCAGAAAGTGATTTTCTTGAGAACACAAAGCAGGACGATGGATGGGGGCTGCTTTCAGCAGTGCCCATAGGGAGTGGAGAAACAAGCCTCGCTTTCTCCAAGACTCCCCCGGCGCAGGCCTTTGTTAGGTCGAGAAGGGAGCGGGACTCGAAGAAGCTCGGATTCCCGTCGACACAGCCCGGCGTCTGAGGTGTGCGAGCTCCACTGGGCCTGGGAGAGGCGCTACCGCAGAGGGCTGCACAGGGTCCTCGCAGCCCAGCCGCGCAAGAGCCATCGGCCTCCGCGCTCTCCGGGCAGGCCCCGAGAGTAATTAGGGAAATTAGCGATGTGTTGTTTCAAGGTAATTAACGGGGGATTTTAGGGCTCTACGTGGGATAAAACCGTAAGGACGCGAGCGAAGGCGCAAAGGGAGACCGCAGGCGCTGTGATCATTCTGCTATGTCAGCCAAGACCATCAATTTCTGATAACATTAGAAAGATGAAAGAAAAATAGAGGAGGGAGGAATGTGGGGAGAGACGTGGAATAGGACAAAAGGAAAGGGGAGCACAGGCGAGGAGAACCCGGTCCAAGCCAACGCCTCCGTGGCTCTCTCGCAGCCCACGTGTCTGCGCTCACCTCGCTCTGTTCACCGTCACACGTGCAGAAAACTCGAAGGCAGCACAACAGAGCTACGAGTCTACTCCGGCTTTCAGTGCTCGCTGGCCAAATCCAAAATCGCTTGTCCTTTTTCTCCCTGGGCCAGCGGTGAGTCTATTCTGCAGGTCCCAGCATCACCCACCCTCGGAGCGGAAGCTTTCCGAGACCCTCCTCATGGAACGGTGACGTGGGCAGAGTGGCAGCCACCCCCCAAGACAGAGCTAGTTTTTGACCTAGTGGAACAAGATCTGGGGGTTAAATACTCTGGGATTGCGATGGAGACTCCCTTGCCTGGAGAGAAAAACCACCCTGAGGGCCTTGCTTCTACCACTGAAATCTCCAGCCTGCAGCAAAGGGGCCGGTGTAAGGAACGCTGAGTAAACATTCTGAGTAAACATTCGTGGATCTGTGACTAACATAGTCTCTGGAGTTACATTTATGCTCTGGTTTTCTCCATCCCAGCTACCTCAGGGCTGGAATCCTCTTGGAACACTCCTTGTGGAACCTGGCTAAGGGTAAAACTGGGTGGTTAGACCCCCCCCCCACTATTGGCAACATAGTACCTTTCACAAACACTTTCCTTTTACTGGGCCTCAGTTTCCCTTGCTTGTTTATGTAGTTTAAATCTATGTGAGCCTAACTATTTACAAAACTCTCTTCTGACAACCATCTGCAGAGCAGTCAGACAAGGGCATTTACCTTGTCTTACAGATGAAAAATGCATCGTTAGTAAAGGCAGCAGCTCACATTCCAGCCGCTTTTTAGGAAAAAGAGATTGGCAAGAAAAAAAAAATGAGAACCTAATCTCAGTGCAGAGGTTAAAAAAAAAAAAAAGGTCCTAGACAAATCAGAAATGCATGTATTAATTACATGGGACTTTGGAAAGCATATACTGACAAACTCTGAAATCCTTTCATATGCTGGGTCATTGCAACCCATGAGAAGGCCAGTGTCACCCAGGGCATCTCTCACTCTCATCTTTTTCTGAAGATGTAGCTTTTCTTGGGGCAAAGTAGGAGGGAGGAATAGGAAAAAAAAAAAACCCCTACCTTTCACTGTTTCTTTTTTAAAAAGGATTTAAGTGACAAAGAATGAAGTCTGTTGCCATGGTTATATAAACATTGATAAATATTCCTGGGCTGAGAGGGTGGGGGTTGGGGAACATGATTCATTTTCTCAAGAAGAATCATATGGCTCAGCCCACCCACCTTCCCCCCAAATAGTCTGGTGAAAGAATACAATTCTCATTTGAAAGTAAATCAAGGCATGCATGCAATCGGGAGGCTGAGGCAGGAGGATTGCTGTGAGTTCAAGGCCAGCCTGAGCTACAAAGTGAGTTTAAGGCCAGCCAAGAATACACAGCAAGACTCTGTCTCAAAAAGAAATAAACAAATAAATTAAAAAAAAGAAACAGAAAAGAAATAAGAGGTCTTGAGATTGGCTGCTGGCATACTTTCTCAAAGCCAACCAGAACTGGAATGGAACTTTCAGAAGTGTCTGTGTGTTTGTCCCCAGCTAGTAGGGATAGATAGACAGTGGGCACTTTTCATGAGGGAGCAGGTGCACTCGTCAGAACTTTTGAGTCCAAAGGTGCCAAACAGGTAGGTTTATGCCCTGCATAGTTGAGGGAGTGTCCCCCTTATATCGATGCAAGAGACTGAAGGTCTTGGCAACCGTGGGTGAGCAGGAAGGGAGAGGCAGAATCAGTTGTGTCCCAACAGAGCTTAGGTCCTGAATGAAACAATGGAAACCACCGTTCTCCTGGCTTCAAATGCTATGGCCCCACCTAAATCCCCCACCCGCCGAGTCTTGGTCTGCTCTGGAAGACATGCCCCTGAGTGAGGTGGTGTCCATCTTCTCATCTCCATTAGCAACAGAAGAGCGGGGAGTTCGTCCTGATGTGAGGCAAGAGATACATGGCCACACATCATCTGGAAAGTGCAGCATAACAGCCTCCTCCCAAGGGTGAGGCTCATGTCCCCACTGCTCTGCTGCCTTACCCCTGTGGCTGCCAGTGGCCTTTATCCTCATCTCCTTCCCCTTCCCCCAAGCCTCCTGGGACTCAGCCGGAAAGGCTGACCCTGAAGATAAACATGTGCTGTTGGAATGTGTTCAGATATCACTGCAGAACTGCTTCTCTCGGGGGAGAGGACTCGCCTCACAGGCTGGTCCAGAGGTGCTGAGCCCAGACTGTGTATGTGCCTGTGTGTGACTGCATGGGATGGTGGGTGAGGAACTGAACTGAGGCCTCAATATTCTTGGAAGAGTCTAACTCTTGCTTTGCATGACATCTTCCTTTGTGCACTTCAGATGGAGGATGAGGCTGCTCTGCACCTTACAGGCTGTAGATCAGGAGGGGCAGCAGAGAGGGGGAAGTGGCCTCTATGTTGGACAAGCCTTTCAGTTCCAAAAGAGTGATTCAGTTGGCTAATAATAATAATAAACCTTTTAATTGGCTGGAGCTCCATGAACTTTGGGTGTCTTCAAATACAGTTTCATTCTCCCTATTTATACACAGAGGAGCCGAGGCCCAAAGAGGATGGTCTGTATAGGGATGGAATATGGTGTCCCTTGTTCCCAAGATTGTGCTTCTTCTACTACTCTGCAGAAAGTGGAGGGATTTGCCCTAAGATAGAACCTCATTGCAAAAATGAGAGCCATTAAGGGTGTGCGTTCTTGTAGCTCCACATCCATGGACTTGCCGTCACCCCCATCCTTAGTGCTGACATACACAGCTACTCTCACAGCCTTCACTTCCTCCTGAGGTCACTGGGCTTCAAGATCTCCCTATCAGCTTTGAGGGTGCTAACAGTTTTTGGAGGGGGACAGGGGAGAGTGCTGGAGAAACAGTATAGGTTTTTAGTAAACTTCATGTATGATAGCTCCCAGACTCTCTCACCTGAACAATTCAGTGGGAATTTTAAGTGCAAAACTAAATTAATCTAAATGATGAGCACTGCATTTATGGACTGATATTCATCCTTATATGGAATCATTTGCAGTTGTGAGCTTGGTGTCCATGGACCTAACTTATTTGGCAAACACTTGTTGGAAAATCAAATATTTCTCCACTACAAACAATACCTGAAGAGTGTCAGTCAAGGGAACTACTTTTGGTATTTGTGTAAACTAATGCTGGTAGATGCAAACTGTACCAAAAAGAAATGGTTTGCTTCCAGGACCTGCCTGGGGGCATCCTGCAATGTCTGAGTCCCTAGAGGAGCAGAATTGGCTTCCCTGTAATGTTACCATGCCCTGTAACTCAGAGCAAAGCTCATTTGATTACCTACTACTAGGTCCTTTCTGCCAGCTGTAAGTGAGTACCAAGAGCTGAGAGTCTGCCAGGGAGAGACTTGTCAGCAAGAAGGAAAGAAAGGCTATCTGTTTCTCCTCCTGACACCAAGCGGGGAGGAGAAAAAGAGGTCACCTCTCAGGTCTGCCTTGCTGCGTATTTGCCCCCACCAGGCAGGTAGAAGCCTCTTCTAGTATATTAAAGGTGTTGGAGAACTGTCCTAGCATCATCCAGATACCAACTGGGATAGGGTGGTGGAGATTTTAGCCTGGGGATTCTCCCCCAACCC